CCACTGCGGCTCACTCCGCTGTCCACGTCCACTCTCCATCGATAGATCTCGCAAAGCTCCGTGCGCCTACCAAATGCCTTCTTCTTCTACGAGTATAGCACTCTTCCAAGTGCTCTTCACACCATACGGCGAAAATGTATTGCTAGTATCGCAACAGGCTGGTCGATGCGGCTTGCATGGCCGCACAAGTGTCTCGTCAGTGAGCAATGAGGCGCGACCGAGATTCCGCCGGGTCATGCCTCGAAGTGGCAGCAGTTTGCAGAAGTTGGGGCAGAGCACGCGTCTGTTCGCGGCTGCCCCAACTCCCATGGCGGCGAATTTTGGCGCTATTTGTGAGATCGAACACCGTCGATCACCTGGTTCCGACCTAACATTGCGAATGATTCTCCGCCCAAATTTGCCGGAGCAACGAAGGAAAAATCCGCTCATGGACGCAAGCTTTTTGCGCTCAAAAGTGCAATCAACCTCCTGCCGCTTCCCGCTTCTTACCTCCTGACCACATCCTACCGTGTCATGACCCGAGCTCTATCCAGCAATAGCAAGGGCATTTCGATCCCGCACGCCTGTGCACACACCGCCTGTGACACGCGCGCCACTAACCACCCTTGCTTTCGTCTCGTACAGCTTTCAGACCCGTACCTCGTCCCATCGAGCCGCAACGACCCGACGCCCAACCTTCTGCCGTTGGCTACCTACGCCCTTCTCATTTGCCTCGAACGCCGGATCGCATCATTATGATGAATACCAAATACATAGAGTCAAGCACGGTCTGGTCGTGGTCCCAACGTGGAAGCGACCATCTGGCGATAACCTATTTTGTTTCTCTCTGACACAAGATGCGACAGCGTTCGAGGCAAAAGAAAAAAGGCATGGCAGACAACAGCGCAAGGCTCGGCGGCGGACTCGTGGCGCTGCAGATTGACCAGGTCGCGGTGACATCGTCACAGACACACGCATCTAGATGCAGGGCGAGGCTGGACTGACGAGGCATCTTCTACGAGGTCCTCGTGCGGCTTAGCCGTGAGAATAGCGCCGTCATCGAAATGCGAATCAGTAGTGCCGTTACATTAACCCTTGACTGTGTTTTCGTGTATGTTTGTTCTCGTGCCATCGGTGCATTTGGTGTGCGGCTTGCGTCGGTGTAGACTCAGGTTGATGACAAGTCGTAGAGGTTCGAAAATCTCGCAAATGTTTGAACACTGATACTAACATTTGGTGTGATTTTCAGCGAAAGTCGGAGCCGACTCGGGTGGTTCACGCGGCTGCCAAAGTGCTCGCGCCTTCATCTCTAATCCTGCTTGCTGCCTACCATTGCCGACTTCTTGCACCGCACAGCAACGTAAGCGACCGCCTCGATTTGCCCTCTCTCAACAAAGGCGCACACGCACGAAGATAGACGCTGACCCTTTTGTATCTCTGGCGGTTGGCTAGGATCAAGATGGCCGGAAACGCAGGAGCCTCTTCGTCGCGCTGGTACAGGCCCATGCCTGGCTTCGCGCCGCACCCACCCGCGTTCAAGCACCGCTGGGGCGCCAAGCTCCTCGGCGCAACAATGTGGTTCTGGATCTTCTACCGCGCCAAACAGGACGGCCCTGTCCTCCTCGTAAGTAGAAACACGCCTAAGCGCGCAGCAAAGTCGGTCTGGAATGCATCGAGGCGGACGCAGAAGCAGGCACGCAAACAGCACAGG